CCTGCCCCGGCGCCCCCCCCCCCCCCTGCAAGCCGCCACCGGGGGTTGTGCCTGCGTGGGACCCCGCGAGGCGTGGTGACCGGGCGCAGGGAGGCCGCAGGGGGGGGGGTCCGTGGTCGCGCGCGCCGCGTGCGCTTTGTGCCCGTCCACGCGTGGGGCACGAGTACACTCGTGGGTGGGGGCGGAGGGGGCGGGGGTGTGAGGCGGGTGGGTGTGCGTATGCACCTGTGCGCATGTGTGTGTGTGTGTGTGTGCCCGCGTGCGTCCGTGTCTGTGTGCAAGGGTGGGCGCGCTCGGGCGGGGACGGGGGGACTTTTTTAGGCCCCTTGCCTGGCCACCAGTGTCCCAGTTTTCCGCCCCCTCTCACTCGTAATTTTTCTTTGTACGTGTCCGCGCCTTGCCCCACCTCTTCGGCCCCCTCCCCTCCCCCCTCCCCCCTGCCCCCGACAGCGCGTCTAACAGGATGCCCCCTCCCCCCTCCCTCTCTCCTCCCTCCCCGTGCCCCTCCCCGCTTCCGCGTGCTCTGATGGTCGGCCCCCGCCACCCCGCCACGCGCCGGTGTTGCAGTGTTTGGAAATTTTCGAGTTAGTCACGACACAATGAGCAGCGAAGGCCAGGCTAGCGGCCTCACCTACCCCGTGCAGTGCTCTGCCCTGCGCAAGAACGGTCTTGTCATCATCAAGGACCGCCCCTGCAAGATTACCGACATGTCCACCCACAAGACCGGTAAGCACGGTGGTGCCAAGGTTAACATGACTGCCGTCGATATCTTCACCGGCCGCAAGTACGAGGAGAGCGCCATGTCCACCATGAACATGGATGTCCCCTTCGTCACCCGCACTGAGTACACCCTGCTCGACATTGCCGACGGCTACTACCACCTCATCAACACCGACACCAACGAGGAGCGCGAGGACATCAAGTTCACCGAGGACGAGGTTGGCCTTAAGATCCAGGAGGCCTTCCAGGGTTCTGACAAGAACATCGTCGTCACCATCCTCAAGGCCATGGGTGAGGAGGCCGCCATCTCCTTCAAGGAGGAGAACTAAGCTGGTGTGTCGGACCATGGAGGATGCATGACCCCCGGGCCGAAAGCCCTTCCCCCCTCTCCCTTTCCCCGTCCTTGCTTCTTTCCTTCCTTCCCCGGCCGTGTGCCCTGCTGCCCCGTGTCTCCCCCTCTCCTCCCCCTCCCCTGCTGTCGGCCGGGAGGGAGCCCCTGCGAGAGAGGGGGATGTCCCGCTTCAGATGGAGCTTGTCAGTCGAGCGTGCGCGCCTGCGCGCGCGCACTTCCGTCTGCCGAGCTCGATTTCCCCTGACACGCGCCATGGCGGCGGTCTGATGGTGGTGGTGGCGGTGGGGTTGTTTTTTTCCCCCCTTCCCCGTTTCCTGGCCGCCGCCGTGTGACAGGGTGTTGATCCTTGTGTGCCGCCCGCCGCTCTCTCCCCTCCCCCCCTTTCGTGGGGGCAGGTGGGGCGCCGCGCGCGCTCCCCCTGCGCCCTTCCTGTGGAATACAGTTCCCACTTGAGCCGCCGCCCCGCGCACCTTCCCCCCCTCCCGTCACCGCCGCCGCCGCCTCTTCCACCGGCCCTCGCGCCTCCTTGCCCTCTTTTGGGCAGGATGTCGCCGGGGAGGTCGTCGTGGTGTGTGTGTGTGTGTGCACGTGTGGCGCGCGCGTGTGCTCGTGGCCGCGGACTCGCCCGTCTCCTCCTTCTCCTCTCCTGTCCCCCTCGGCCCGACGCCCTGGAGTACGTATGTGTGGGAGCATGTCCGCCGGCTGCCTCGCTCCTCCCTCTTGGTGTGTCCATGTGTGCGTGCGCGCGCGCGCGCGTTCTCCCTCCCGTCCGTGTGTCCATCCTCGCGCTTCCACGCCCTCTCCCCTTCCTCCCCTGCCGGCCTGCCAGCTCGCGCTCCTCTTTCTCCCCCTCTCAACCTCCTCCTCCTCTCGGCTGTGCGCCACATGCCGACATGTATGTGTGTCTGTCTGTCTCTGCACAGGCGGGGCACCTGCCGGGAGGAGGGGAAGGTACCAGGAGGGGCGGGTCATGTGGTTGCTCCCGGGTGTGTGTATGTGTCCGTGCAGGCGAAGCGGCGGTGGCGCGGCAGTGCGTGGTGTTTCCCCCGGCGGCGCTGGGCGTACGCGCAGACGCGCCTTTTTCGTGCACACAGGTGCCCCCCCCCACCTGCACTTCAAGAGGCCAAGCGAGGCCCGCTGTGTGTGCCGCGCCCTCCCCCCCATACTACCTGCACTCTCGGGCACGCGGCGCGCTCCGGGCAGGAGAAAGAGGGAGACGTACCCGTCCGTGTGCCCGTGCGCACGCGCACCTCCCCGCATGTGGTCCCTTCTTTTTTTTCGCGTGTGGTCTTTTGCCCTCCTTTCTCTCTCTCTCTCTCTCTCTGCGTACACCCCCGCCCCCCTCTTGTGCCGGATTGTCTTCATGTGTTCGTGTGTGACGCCTCATTTAATCCCTGGCCTGGATCTTCGTTCCAGGTCGGTTTCAATTGATGGCAAGATTAGGCCCTGGTGCCGTCGGTGTGTTTGGCATCCTCCGTTCCTGGTGGGGCCCGATGGGGTGCCCCCTCCCGTTCTGGGAGGGGACCTCCCCCTCGGTCTCCGCATGCCGGGAGCGGTAACCGCCGGCCGCCGAAGCCGGCGCCAGGGCGACGGAGATTCGCTAACAGCGTTCTTTGCTCAGTGGACGTCGTTTGATAGTAGCTCCTGTTACAAGCCCCCCCCCCTCTTTTGCTTTTGCCCTTTTTTGCCCTTCATTTTCGTCCCCCCTCCTCCCCCTCTACTTCCTTAATAATTGAATTCCTCCTCCCTTTCTCTTCCTCTCTCTCTCCTCCCCAAGAGAGACAGAGAGGGGCACGCGCTTTGCTTTCTGCCTGGCCGCCCTTTTTTTGCCGCACGCACACAGCGACCGTAAGGGGTGGGGGGGGGGGGCCGGGGAGGAGGATGGAAGGGGGCGGAGGAGGCCGTGCGGGCGGGCCGGGGCTCGGGGGCGGTCCGCACCGCAGGGTGATGCGCCGGGGAGAGGAGGTGTTTCCCGGGTGCTGGCGCGCGTGTCCATGGCGGGGCTCAGGAGCACACGGCTCCGGATCTTGACTCCGCGTGTCCTGGCACGCCAGCCAGCCAGCCAGGGATCTGCATTGACGGCTCCTACGCGTGATGGACGGCGGGCAGGCCGAAGGCCCCCCCCCCCCCCCCGGCAGGGAGATCTCCCCGGCACGCGTTCTTGCGGGGGGTGATTGGTTGCGGGTGCATGGGTGGATCTGCTTTTGGCCGGGATGGGCGCTAGGGGCGGTGAGCGCGAACGCGTGCGCGAAGGGGAGTCTCCCCCCATGACCCGGGTGGTGATGCTCTATTCAATTGCAAGGGCACTTCTGATGCCGGAGCCCCAAGTTCCCCATCATCCTACTCCTCCCCCTCCTCTTTTTCTCTCTCTCCCCCCCCCCTCTACATACAGCTTCCTGTGCGATCGATCATGCTTCCCTCGGCTGACTTGCCAGCCGACTGGCCGTCCGGCTCGTCAACCGCCGGCCAGCCGGCCAGCCAGTCGTGCGATCCACAGGATCAGCAGCAGCAGCAGGACCAGCAGCAGCAGCAGGACCAGCAACAGCAGCAGGACCAGCACCGAGATGCCGTGGCTTCCTGGTTGACTGGGTTCTCGCTGGCTCCCGAGCCGGCTGCCTGCCTGGCTGTGCGGTGGTCGGTCTCCGGTGTTGGCACTCCGGCCACCGGAGATGTGGTGGCCGATCGCCAGGCCCCACGCCCTCCTGGCCAGCCCTCCTATATCACCTCGCCGGGCCTGTCGCTGTGCGAGTGGTGCGGACGCTCGACCCCTTGTGTGCTGCTGATGTTGATGTTGATGTTGGTGTTGGTGTGTTATGATCGCTCCCCCTGACCAGCGCTCGCCCACTGTACCCGGTCGCCTGTTGCCGTGGCGTCAGGTCTCCCTGCGGGTATTACCTGTTGTCAGCCCAGTCCCTGTCGTTGGCGGTCCATAGCCCGTGCGTTGGCCGGCCTTCACCGGCGTCTCCAATGCTTCCACGTCATAGTGACATGTTTTCCCCCTCTCTCTCTCTCTCTCTCTCTCTCTCTTCGCCGGACTGCCGGGTTGCTTAGGGACTTCTCTTCGCTGGCCACCAGCCCGGGATTCGAGCCGGATTTCGCCCAGCCCCCTCAATGCACCAGCTACAAGGCAGCCACGACCGCCGGCGGCGCGGCAATCGGCCCTCCCCTGTCACTTTTCCGCTCCCCATCGGCCCTCCTCGATGCCCAGTGGTGCCCGACTGGTATGCCGGGCCGGGGCACTTGCCGTCGCCCCCTCCCCCTTGCCGCTGCCCCCTCCACAGCATCCGTCCCTCTGACCCTCCTCTGGTGGACCCTCTGCGTCACAGCATCAACCAGCCTCTATGCCATCAGTGCTCGGGATCTGCCGGTTCAGCTGCGCGATCTGTCCGGCCAGGTATTGCCATTCACATTGTCGCACGCCCTCCCGACCGCATTTCCCCATCCTGGCACTCACACCTCTCCGTCTCCCTCCCTCCCCCCCCCCTCTCTCTCTCCCTCCCGGCCCAGGTTCGCTTTTCCATCGCGGCCAAGAACCAATATGACGAAATCGAAGCCCCGGCACGCTTGGCCTTCTCGCCCGACTCGCTGTCGTGCGTTCCGCATCTCCTCCTACCCGGGTTTTGGCGCGCTCCTTGCCGTTCCTTCTGACACGCCTGCCCACTCAGCATGTACCTCACCTCGGACGCCGCCTTTCAAAAGTATGACACATACTCCGGCCAGCAGCTCGGCGCGTGGGCCACACGGCCTTCTCGCAAGTCCCGCGAGGGCATCGGAGGTGCGTTGCTCCTGGTCAAGCGCCACGTTGGCGTGTTTGCTCTTCGGGCTGGTACTTATGCTGGCTGTCGGGCCTCCCCTCCCCCGTGCCGACCCAGGCCTTCTTACGGGGCTGGCCGTGCATCCGACCATCGGTGGATTGGTGGCGGTGGGATCGCAAGCCGGCGGTGTGACAGTGTACTCGACGGCCGACGCCTCAGGCCGGCTTGGGAAAAAGGTTTTCACCGACCCGGCGGCCTTCCGGGCTGGTGCCTCGTCTACCGGCGCCGCCGGGGTCGGGGTGTCGCACCTGGCTTTCGATGGCGGGGGCCGCCCATGGCGGCTGTTCGGGGCGTGTCGTCGGGGGGTCGGCTCCCCGGGCGATGAGGCTGTTGTGGCCGAGTGGGACATTCGGGCGGCCAGTCAGCCGGTACGGGTGTACCGCGTGCCGGCCAGGCCCGGCGACCGCCCCGGCCAGGCACCCAGCCGGCCATCCGGCGTGCGCGGCCGGAATTCCTTCGCTCTGGAGTCGCCGGCCCGGGGGGCGCGGCACCTTCTCCTGGCCTCGCCCGGCCATGGGGCCCTGCTTTTTGACACCCTGCAGGCCGAGTCAGAGCAGCCTCCCAGCCCGATCGAGGTGATTCGCCGGTCGGACGATTGTGCGGCCGATCTGTTGTTCCCCCTCGCCATCCCCGTGCTTTCCGGCTGCTGGGCAGCGCAAACTGACATGCTCCGCGTCTCCTCGCCTGCTTGATCGCACTCGCTTTTGGCCAGCTGGCGGCGGGACATACACACCCAATGCCTCGATTGCCTGGAATCCCACCAATCCCAGCCTCCTGGCCCTGGCGCAGCCATGCCCCTTCACAGCGCCACGGCCCGGCGAGGCGGAGGAGGATGACGCTGACGACGCCGGCATTCTGCAGGATCACCTGCATGCGCTGTCAGTGCACCGGCTTGCGGGCACCTGGCCTGAGTCGGCATGCTGACACCGCGCCATGTGTCGCCTCCCCCTCCACCCGTGGCATCCGGACAAAGAAAAGAAAATACAAACAGATCACACTTTGCGCGGCCCCCCCCCCTCCCCTTTCACGAGGCAGGGTCGAGAGTGCTTCGCGCCATGCATCAGGCATTTGGAGTCAAGGACAGGAGATGTATTTGGTGGATCGCCGCCGTCACATCGGCATCATCATCGGCCGCCGGCGGCCGGGGACAAGGGCGGAAACCGTGTGTGGGGCAAGCGCCTGCGCATGCGTGCGTGGGCTGGAGGAGAGAGATGGGTGACCGAAAATCGCGGTGCATGGATGGTGGGAGTGTGTGTGTGTGTGTGGGGGGGGGGGGGGGCATTTTTACACACAAACGCCCCAAGGACGACAAGAGAGATCACAAGAAGAGGGGAGGCATCCCAGTGCGCTGGGAGCCGCCCTGTCCCCTCCTCCGCACTCCAAGGGGATGGGGGGAGGCGGAAGGGGGGGGGGGGGGGCGATGTAGGCGCCATCAGAAACTAGAGAGCAGGGAGGCTGACCACTCATAAACGAAGAAGGTAACCGCATTCACGGGGAAGGCCCGCGCAAGGGTCGGGCCAATGCCCTGCCATGATGTGTTGCCGCCAGGGGACGGAGGGGAAAAACAAGGGGGAAGGGAGCAGCATGCAGCCGAGGGAAGTTAGAGGGTGGGTGAGAGGGCGACACATTTTGGGAGATGCCAGGAATGGGCGCGCACGCGGAAGAGCCACCGGTAGCCACCCTCCTGGGCGACACCCTGACGGATGATGGAGCTCATGGAGAGGGACGCGCGGCGCGGCACGTCACTGGCCAGGGCCTCGGCAGTCTGCATGCGGGACTTCAGCACATCAAACGGGTAGATCGGCAGCCAAGAGGCCACACCAGCCAGCCCACCAGCCAGCAGCACCTGTCCGGGAGGCACACCGACAGAGGGCACGCATGCATCGGAAAGAGAGGCAGAGAGAGGCAGAGAGAGGCGGAGAGGGGAGGAGGTCCCACGCAGGTCAGTCACACAGCCGCAAAAAGGCAGCACAGCCAGGGGATGCGCCGCGGGTGCTGCCGCGGTGGCGACGGTGGCAAACAGCATCGGGCTGGGCGGCGGCGATGGCAGCAACGCGAGAAGGAGGCCAATCCACCATGCCTCGGCCGGGGGGCAGCATGCTGGTGAAGTCACACGTACAACTGCGGGATCAGCCCGGGGCCGGCCCCATGCGGTTGACAGATGGGAAATGGTCAGCTCATAGGCGCCGAAGTAGATGGCGTAGCCGGGAGAATCGCGCAGGGCCGTGGCCTGCCAGCCCTGATAGACACCCAGGAAGCCACGCAGCCCAGGCGCCGCGGACATAGCCTGCCGGGCAACCGACAGCATGGTCGGGGTGTTGGCCGGGGTGGGGCCGGCGGCGGCGGCGGCGGCGGCGGCGGCGGCGGCGGCGACTGGGGCCCCGACGGCCGCGGCATTGGACCACACCTGGAGCCGGCACTTGACCAGCTCCGCCGGCGAGGTGACCACCGATGCGGCCAGGCCGGCAACAGCACCGGCCAGCGAGGACACCATGAGGCTGTTGGGATCGCGCGCGCCGAGCCCGGCGGCGGCCAGCAGGTCGCCGGCCATGCGCTGCGACGAGCCATACACCGCAAAGAGGATGGCATTCTGCCCGGCGACAGCGATCAGCGGTGGGGTCAGGCCGCGGAAGAGCGACAGCGGGCCCTCGTGGCGGATGGCCGCCGTGGCCACGGCCAGGGCGGTGGGCCGGGTCCCGGCCGCCGGCCCGAGCGACACGCCGCCCAGGCCGGCGGTCGACATGCTGGGCCGGACCGCGCCGGTGGCGCTGGCGGCTGCCCCGGGCAGGGCGGCCAGCGGGGGTGTCAGCGTGCCGAGGGCCTGCATGCGGACCTTGATCGTGTCCAAGGGCTGGCCAACGACGATGCCGGCGCAGCCGCCGAGCACGCCGGCCGCGAAGTCCACCACGGTCGGGTGGAGGGTTTGTTGTTTGCCAGAGGAGGGCATGTTTCCGGCTCTGGGGACGGAGGGGGGATCAGCGGTGACGGGTCAGGCGGCGGGTGATGCTCGTGAGGGGGGGGGGGGCAAATCGAGTCAGCCACCCAAGCGAAGGGGGAGCCATATGCATGAACAAGCACCGAGAGGCAAGAAGAAGGGGGAAAGGAGTA